TTCTTGAAAGACAAAGTGTATTTCCCAAGAAAATAACCGCTGTGATTTTAAACTTGGTAGTATAAAGCAGCCAGAGAACAATTCTTTTGAGATGAGCTTGCATTCTTTTCCAAGGAGATTAGCACTGTTGGTTTGCCCTTACTTTAAGAAAAGGAATGTGTTATATGTTGCCTGTAAACTTGTAGGATTAGTCAGAAGGGGGATTCTCTACATCCTTGATGAACAGGGGATAAGTGGTGCTTTCCTTCAGACCTGTTCCACAAAATATTCTCTACTTGAACTCATGTGTAGAGACCTACAACAAAATTCCTAGAGCACCGTAATTGCTCCACCTCCCACTGGCTGTCACATGCTTATGAATGGTGTGTGCACACAGGAGAACTAATTCAGCACCACATTAAAAAAAAAAGTGATGTGTCCTTTAGATATCCTCTCCTGGGAGTGCAGTGTTTGGTCAAATGTAGGTTCATCATGATGTAAAGGGATTTAGACTTTTCTAAACTAAAATGAGTATATTTTTTATATCTCCTTGATAGAAACTTGAAAATGTCTTAGTGGACAGCTTTCTTTTCCAGGATTCCCTACATGGCTTCATCATAATACTTCAGGACTCATTTTTTAAAGAAAAAAGCGTATCAAATGACATAGTAGGCAAAATATAATTTCAAATCTAAGGATACTAAGACTTGGAGAGTTGAATGCAATACTTGTCTTAAAAGAACATCCTCACATGTTATCGTTATGAAAAGAAAACCAGTCCAAGCCTCTGCCTGAATCACCTACTGTAATTTCCTTATCGTAAGGGTATAAGATGATAGTAAAGTTAAAGCAAAGCCTGATACCCAAGATTTTCTATGGTATACTATTGGTTTTCCTTAACATAATTTAGGAATATCAGCATTTTATTTCGCATATAAGTGTTCCACTGCATTTAGGACTTAATGTCCTAACATTTTTTTGACCACCTTAAACAGTTTCAAAACTTTCTCATACTCATGCTTTTGTGTTAGGAAGGAACCCATAAATACAGATGATTTTCACTAGTGGAAACTGAAGTGGCCTGGGTCTCCTTAAAAGGCCATAAAATAGAACTTTAATGACTGCAGCATAATCCCATAAACTATAAGTGAGCAACAGAATTTTTTACACCAGCCCACAAATGTTCTGGGCCCCAATGTGATTTTTTTGATTTTTTTTTTTAACTCTCAAAGACATTACGCACCAGCCAAGAATTACTTTGAATTAACAATTTTGCATGGAGACTTTATTGCAGATATACACAGGTATCTTCTCTGAAGGATAAAGGAGTATATGCCATAAATGTTCCAATTCTTTCTTGTAGTTTATTTGTAGTTTGTTTTCCTTAATGAATTTCCATTGAATTAACTAGTTACTTAACTAAATTAGATTTCAGTCGAACACTTCGATTAAACAAATGGGAGACCTCCTAATACATCTACATGAGGCACATTTCTCAAGGCTTCATTTTATTCCCAGATAAGCAGGTACTACTAGCAACAGAGTATGGAAATCTGCCACCGCACATGTTAGGTCTGGGAGTATAGTACGAAACTGTCAAAACAGGAAGTAATGTGTGGTCATGGTGTGTAAGTGTGATTAAGATATACTCCTTTTACAGTGAATCATAACCACATTCTGGTGATGATCCTATTATCTGACGTTGTTTTCCACACAATAGAAAGGAGGGAGGGAAGGAGAAGGGGAGGGAGTGTGGAAGGAGGAAGTTTTTTGGTTTTTTGTTTTCTTTCTTTTAGGAGGAAGGTTTTTAATATCCATCTATTTCTTGACATTTGACTGATAACCCTGTATTTCACTGATTCTTTGAAGTGCAAAAATAAATCCTTCTTTTGTAGCAATAATGCTTTGATTTACAAATAATGACTTTCTCATTCTAAGCTAAAATTAAATTCAATCTAACAACAGCAATAACAACAGCCTCATCTGTTTCTTACAGATTAAAAGTTGGATTTCTAAAAGGGCACAGATCTTATCTTCTGTTTTCAGACTTGTCTTCTTTCTCTACACCAAACTAAAACTCTATCAACATAAAACAAAAAGAAAAAACTTATAATTTTGAAATGTTCACAAAATATCACTTTGGAATTGTTTTAATTTTATCATTTTAAAATGAAAAATACTTAGAACCACAAATTACACACAAATAAAACTAATATTTTTATTTTTGTTCTTCACACAAAGAATGAAAATTACGTTACTATAAATATTATATGAATGGCATTTGTAACATAAGCCTGCATTTACACACCTTTTCATTATTTAGAATTTGAATTTAAAAATGCACGTCTAAATTGTTAAAAATCATATGAGCTTGCACAATATCTGATTAGTTAAAAGTTAATTCATTGATCACTTCCTGTTCCTTACATTGTCTCTTGAAACTTTTTGGGAAAAAAAGGCAAATTTTTGTGATGTTGATGACCACCTACTAAAATAAGAATATATGCCCATAGGCCATAGTAATTTGCTATGGAATCCCCTGGTTAGCTTTTTTATTTTTATTTTTTAAATAATATACTGAACAAAATTTATAATAGTTCATTTCATGACAACTTGAATGCATTCTTTAACACAACTGCCCTACCATTTAATGTATTTAAAAAAAAAATAAATATTTGAAAAGTGTATCCACAATGTTCCTAAGAAATGGTTTTGAATTCCAGAGTCCCAAGGAGATGAATTGGCTGTCAGATAACAATGTGCTTCCATCAGATGGACTTGGCAGTTGTAAACAAAAGGAATTTTCTCAGCTTTTCCTCACAAATATGAAATATTTGCTTTCGGCCAACAGCTGGGGTGATTTAAAGAAGTCCTGCATATATATTAGTTTCCATTCAAAATTACAAATCCTCCTCCCACTCTGAAACATCTGACTGCATCTTAGTATAACTGAAAATTGTTCTGAGATAAAGTGACATTCTCAGGAGAAGTAAAAGTCAAAAAATAGTACCTACTTACAACTCTAATCAAATTTCAGATCACAAGCCATCTGGTTAATAATTTTTAGAAAAAAGTAATTTGTTCAAATGATATTTGAAGTGACTTGAAAAACAATGAGAAAGTTTGGTCTGTTCTAGCATTTCTGAAAATATTTAAAACTACAATATAACCCAAATAGAGACAGCATGAAAAGTCACTGAAATACCTTCAACTGGATGTTGCTTAAGAATATATATACAGGGAGCCTGGGTGGCTCAGTCCTTAAGTGTCTGCCTTCGGCTCAGGTCATGATCTCAGGGTCCTGGGATCAAGTCCCACATTGGGCTCCCTGCTGGGCGGGCGGCTGCTTCTCCCTCTCCCACTCCCCCTGCTTGTGTCCCCTCTCTTGCTGTGTCTCCCTCTGTCAAGTAAGTAAATAAAATCTTTAAAAAATATATATATATATACATATGCATATATGTATATATTTCCATATGATAACTAAAAATTGTTCATGAAAAAATGTTATGTTTGAATTATAATTTTAAATTATCTATTCATCTTACCAAATATTTAAATTATATTGATACTTTGTAAATAGATGAATTAAAAACACCTTTACAAGATACTCAATAGGAATTAACTATTCATAAAAGCCTATGAAAGTAATCAAAGTATATTTTCAGAGTATTTTCATAAACTAAGAGACAGGTTATGAACTTATGAACTTTGTAATGAACTTAACCAAATGTTTACCTTGTTTTTACTTCTCTCTGAAAATTAGCTCAAAGTAGTGACTTTCCATTTATTTTGAATTCCACAGATATATTCCCTATATTGTAATATTTATCATGGACAAAATTTTACAGTAAAATAGACACCTCTGGGTTTAATTTTACTTGTGGTGATAAAAATGGAGCCTATATATTTACAAATATCTTAGAAGTTGACAAGCCATTTTTTTTCTACTTACAATTACACAGAATTAACTTTTGCCCTTGGGCCTAGTGAATCTGAGTATGTGCTATGCCTAAAATGAACTTCATATTTCATTATTTTAAATAAAATTTTTATTTTTACCTAAAGTGCCTATTAAAGCAGGCATGGAAATTGTTGCTACTTTTAATAGAGCTGTTATTTGCCCTTGAAATGCAAACTTATTAAACTTGAGTTATCAAGACATATGAGACATGTAATTCATACTTCAAATTACAAAGTGTGTAATTTATTTTAATTATTGCAGACAAAAGATTTTGTCCTTTGTAGATGTATACTGTAGATATAAATTAAAAATGGCCCTTAAGTAGTATATTCCAATCTGTGAGATTTTGTGTCTGAAAAAATAAAATATATTTTAAAATCTGAAGTCCATATGATCTTCTTGGGAAGAAAAAAAAAATTCGACGTTAAAATGACCATGTTTTGATAATATAATTCTTGCTTCCATTTCTACTAATCTTTAAATTCTTTTTCCAGGAGAAATATTTAGAAAGCTACTATAAAATAATGAAAGTTGTGAATAACTGTTACTAACAACATTCACCACAAGTGATAAATATCAAAAAGCAAATTTGTATCACTAAGAATTTAAAATATGTCCTCAAATGTCACTTAATGACACACAAAGCAACAGCATGAAAATTAAAATAAATACTAGTAAACTTTTCTTTTCCAGAATATACTATAAATGCAAATAAAATCACTACCTTTCTTCCTATAAAAGCAAATAAAAAACTAGATAGACCATAAGGAAAACATGTACCTCTCTAAGTACCAAATAAAGCAATGGCTATTCACAAGGAAATCAATGTCTCAGGAAAGGAAGTTTGTTTTTTTTTTTATCTTTATTAAAATTTAGTACCATTTGTGCAAAATTCCACAATTTCTAATTGTAAGTTAGCCTGAAAGCCACTTGTTCGACCTCTTGTTTCTGTAAAACGTTCAAAGACTAAGACATGAAATTGAAGACATGGCCCTTGAAATTCAAGTATTTTTTAAAAATACAGTTATGTCGTCATAACTTTGGAATTAAAAATACTTACAGTCTCTCCAGTTCTTTAAGATCCTGGAATGCTCCTCTTTCAATGGTGCTAATCTTATTCTCCATAAGCTGACTGAAATGCAAAGTATAATAGGGTCTTAATGTTACCACTCCCCATCTGAGCGAGTTTCAGTTCAGCAACTGAAAACTTGTAACCTCTTTCCCTTTATAAAATTAAGCAATGCTCTGGTTTGAGAATTAACAGCAAATTTAATGATGATATATTTGAGAGAAATCACAGAGGGCAAACAGTATCCACAGCACAAAACTTCGATAGAAAATACTAATGTAGTTTCTCACAAAATTTACTAGTCAAAACTCTGAACCTCCCACTACAGTTATCCTGAGGAGCAACCCATGACACTGCAGTTTTGATAGCTATTTTTGGTAAACTGATTTTGGACTGAGTTCTTAACTGAAAGAATCAATATACAGCATGTCACCATACACATACTTTAATTCACTTATGGATATACATCAGAAATTGGAAGATTTCATAATGGCCAAAATGTGTCCTTTAAAAGATCAACACCCAACACACAGTGATCAAAAGTATATGTTCATTGCAATGTAAATATTTACAAATCTGTGGGTAAAAACAGTTTTACATTACATTGAATCTCCAGTGATGGTTCCCTCACAACAAATTTTACCCACTAATTAAAGAAGTAATCATAGTGCAACAATATTATAAAAACTACAGAAATGTAAAATACAATAAACAATTCAAAACATGACCAGCGTATTTTTAAGGAGAAACATTTGCCATCAAAAACTGCAGGAAAGTTGGACTGCTTGATTTTAATGTTAGAAATTACATCTAAGCGTTGTTTGCTAGAAAAGTTAAATGCAGACCCACTTAAATTCTTTCTTAATCTCAAATCCTTAAAGTGTATCAAATGTCTCACATTACTTATTCATATTGTGAAAGCAATTATTCTACACATTTATATGCGTAAGGCACTTAGGGTATGGTATAGCAAACATTTGAGGTCATTTCTATAATATTGTTTCAATGGCAAGCATCCAACCTTAAAATAAAAGCCTACATTTTCATCAAAAGCTGTAACACAATGATAAACCAAAAAAAAAGAAAGGAAACCAAAACCTTTTAAAATTTTATGTTTCTGTCATTGGGACAGTTTTTCAATCTGAGACCAGTAACAGTACAAAATATTCAACCTTAAGAACAAAAGAAAATTCTTCAAAATGCAGAAGAACATACTTACAGGACTCTTAGGTGTCGAAGACCAGCAAAATCTGTCTTGGTAATCCGTGTGATGTTATTTCCATTCAAATCCCTAAGAAAAAACAAGAAAATGAAAGTTCCATTTTATTTCTATCAAGATCTAGTTAAACAAAGAAAAATAAAAATTTAATAAGAACTTTAAAGTCAAAGATCAGTTCCAGTTACTGAAGTAGTTTGCAAAGTAAAAGAGAAAAAGAGAGAAGGAAGTAGTAAGCTTTGAAATATACATATATATATATATATTAATGATTCTTAGCAAGTTTACAGAGTCCTTGCTTACTGGCATCTGACAAGAACACTAAGTGATTATGTTATCAGAAGTCCTCTTTTGTGTCTGTAGGGGAGTGCTTTCAATTTTTGTTTTTATGAGAATGTGTTTATTAATTTCACAAGTATTCTGCTAAGTTAACTATTATTGTTAGGCACACCCCGAAAAAGTTCCCCTCAGGAAGTTAAGAAGAACAATTTTCTAATACTACCCAGGAAGAAATTTTTAAAAATTCAGAACCCTATCCTTAGGTGGCAGGGTGGCTAAACTTCCTAAGGCAAAAAAAACCTTACATTGCCATCAAAAGAACTGCACTTCAAAGACTTGCATTTACAGGCATTTACCTTCCAACAATTCTATGTTTGTATGAAAACTAAACTCTTCATTTGCAGCTCAGGGAACCCCGCTGTGATGGTAAAGTCAAAACTACTAGCGGGGGCAATAATGGAAATAGATTCAGGCCCTGACATTTTTGTTCGGATTTCAGCACCACGTTTCCTTCAAGTCACCACCCCCTTTTCTGGCATCTTAGGTCAAGATCTAAACTTGCCCTGGTTCCAATCATTTCAAGTAAAACCAGGCTGTGTTGCGGTTTGAATGTTCGCCTTCACGGAAGTAAGTTTTCTTTTACCTCTGAGTAGAAAACACCATCTTGGAAATTTGTATGCAAAGTGCTTATTTTGTCAATGATAGAATTCTATAAGCTAGCACTGAGTATACTATTTTCTGAAAACTGTATTGATCCCTCATAGGGATATTTTTTTTTTCAAGGACCCGAAACTCAATTACTATTTTGTTCTGAGTGCATTCCCTTTTTGTTGAGTAAGACATGTTAGTGCCTAAACTTTTAACTGTTTTTAAACAGCACGAAAGGACAAGTGCTAACACAGAATTCTGCATTGCTTTCTCCCCAACCCACTCTCCATGCCTAGCAAAGTACCACCAAGTTGTTCCTACAATTGTTGGAGTCTTTTATGGGCTATTTGACATAACATGAATCCCTACCCACAGCTCCAGACAAATGTGGTAGATCACATTTTGACAAGACACCCTTGGTAGGGCCCCAACTAGCCCAGCGCTAGAGGGTGTTGAAGTGGGGGGGCAGGCCAGAGAGGCTGGGGGTGTGGGAGACATTTGCAAAGGAAGAAAGGGCTCAACTCTGGCCTTTAAACTGAGGGAGAACGAATTGGGTTAGATAAGAAGAGCGACTCGAGGCGCTGCGGGCCGCGCCGGTGGAGACGTGCGGGTCCCAGCGGGTCCCCTCCGCGGCGCGCAACCCTAACACCCGGGGGGCGCAGAGGTCGCGGTAGCAGAGTCGGGGTGCGCTTGCCCCCGCCGCCCTCGCCCGGCGCACGCCCGGCCCACGCGCAAGGGCGAGTGGAGCGCGCCCAGGGCGCTCGGGCAACGCGGGGCGGCGGCCTCGGCGTTCACAAAGGGAATGGCCTCCATGCTCCACTTCCCTGAACTCGGGAAGTGCCCCACAAGGAGCGCGTGGGCCGTCAACACGGGGTCTGCGATTACTTCTTCATTAGAGATTCGCAGAGACAGGGAGGCGGGGATGTCTGCGGGCAGCAGAGCGCGAAGAAGGGAAGGAAGGAGAACTGAGGCCACGTGAATGGGCGCAGAAACTGCCAGAAAGGTGTACGGGAGCCCTAGGGCTCAGCAGGAAGGGCCGGGGGGTGGGCAGCGGAGGGCCGCAGGGTCGCCTTAGCAGTCGGACCCCGCTCGGCTGGTTCGAGTTAGAGAGCCAGCCCTAACTTAGCCTACACGGGGGGAAAAGGTCCTCCTCTTCAGTCACCGGTTCCGACACGTCTCCTGGGGCGGGCCGCCGCCGCCTCCTCCCTGGGGACGTGGGGGACGGGGGGAAGAGTCGCGGGGGCGGCGTGCGGCGACCGAGCGAGCTGCCTAGGTCCTGGGGCATCCTTCCCTCTGAGGCCTGCAGAAGCTCCCCCGGGCGGACCCAGACGCCCCATGATCCCTTCTCTTCACCCCCTCCGTCCCCAGGAGGGTGACACTAAGCCGGGGAGCAGAGGTTTCTCCCTTCTGAGTCCCCTCCGCCAATCTCCCCCCGCGCCACCCCGCGCCGACAAAAGCTGGGATTTGGCCCTGAAATCGACCCGCCAGTGTTGGCAACCGCAAGGTGACTCCGTTTACACAGTCTGGGGAACAAAGTCGCGTCTCCCTTGCCCGGGGCACTAGCGAGTACTTGTCCCCCACGTCCCCGGCTCTCCAAGCCCCAGAGAAGTATCCTGCCCTGGGATGCAAGTGTGGGAAGAAGGGACCAAGCACAGCTGCCAGGGGGCCCGCCCCTCCTTGGGCAGCGGCCCCTCCCTGTGCAGCGCCCTCCTGTCCTTCGCCCTCCCAGGGAGTTCTAGCCCAGGATGCGCGTGCAAGAGAGCTACCCAGGCACATGTCCCTGTGCCGTTTGATCCCTCCAGTCTCGACGAAGGGGATGCGCGACCCAGTGTGTTGGGGGGGGGGCGGTGGAAGATCCCATACTCACAGTCTCTCAGTGTTGCGGGGGATATTCCTGGGCACGCTGCGCAGCGCCAGCCCGTGACAGTCCACTGTGCTGCCCGAGCAGGAGCACTGCGCTGGGCACGCCTGCGGCGCCACCTCGTTCAGGATCACCAGCACTAACCCCAGCGACAGGGACAGCGTCTGCCAGCCGACGCCACGCATCTTCCCCCGCCGCCTCCTCGCTCGCCGGCGCGGGGGTTCCTCTTTAGCTCGTTGCTCCGCGCGAATCGCTCTGTGTCTGAGGCCCAGTATCTGGCGCGGGGCTAGGAACCCAGCGTGTCCGGATAAATGTACACAAAATAATATGGAAGTAACAGTAATAATATTCAGGGCAGTAGAGCTGACACAGGTACGCGCCTCCCACCTCCCCTCCACCCTCCTCCAGCAGGGCAGGCGCTCCTCCGGCAACTTTAGGTCCTGAAGATCGATCGGCCAGGCCAAGGCTACAAGGAGACCCCAAAGCTGCGGTGAGATCACGCGTCGTCTGTCTCAGAAAGATCAACTTGGCGGTAAAAGAGCTGGGGATGCAGGGGCCGGTTGCGCGGAAAAGGGAGTGCTCCGATTCCACTGACCCCCTCTGCAAATCCGATTCCAGTAGGGAGGCTAGGAGACAAGAGAGGTGCTCAGTAGAAATGGTGGCCTCGATCAAAGTGGGCTCTCCGAAGCTAGAAGGCGCAAGAGCCCAGCGGGCGGGGAGCGGAGCGCGCCGGACGACTGGGCATGGCGCGCGGGGGCGCACGGGGCGGGGGCGCAGTCCCGGGGGCGCGGGGCGGTGCTGCGGGGCTCTGGCGCTGCTCACTCGCGCGGCCTCCCAACAGCCTGCGGCTCTTCCGCAACCCGGACAGATCCTCGCCGTCTCCCGACAGCCGAGGGCGGTTTGCAAACACACATGCACTTCACCGAAGGACGTCTCGGCAATCCCGCCTCTTGCCCAGCGTCCTTGGCGACGCTCCGCACCAGGGCCTTTCCCGAGGTCACGCAGAAAAGACAAAGGGCAATGGGGCCGCCGCAGCCAGCAGCAATATCCACTAGTCACCACCCCGACAGAGGAAATCCAAGAGGCCAAGTTGAGGACCAGAGCTCCTCAGAGGATTGAGTCGGGGCTGGCTGGCAGGCAGGCCAGAAGGAGTGCAAAGGCCAAGGTGGAGGTGTCCGGGTCTTGGGTCCTGCCCGGGAGGGGGATGACGAGGTGGCAGTGGGCCGGTGGGATCCGCTACTCCGAGGAGAGCCCAGGAGGCGGCTGAATGGCAGTCCTGTGTGCGCGCGTGTGTCAGCCCCTCGCGTCTCCCGGATACGCCGCAGCTCCGCAGCAGACACCTGATGGCAAAGGTGGACGAAACCAGAGCAGGCTCCTAGGCGGACGCAGCCCCTCGGCCGCCCCCCGGACAGCCGCCCGCAAGTGAGCCCTCCTTCTCAAAGTGCAGGAACTTTTCCCAGGCTTTGAATCCTGTCCCCCACGGCCACGGTGGCAGTCTTCCCGCCGACGTCGCGACGCCGCCCGGCTCCCGGTGCTGCACCTGACTCGGCGGCCGCAGTCCAGAACAGCCAGTCTCCTTCCAGCCCTTTCCCCTCTCCTGGCTGCTTTCCGCGCCTCCTTCTCTAGGGAGGGAAGTGGCGGAGGGGGAAAGCGGCGACAGGCAGCGGGGACTCGGTGGCTCTGCTGGCTCCCGAGCTCCTGGCAAGTGTCTAAACAATAGGACGGACGCAGCAGCCCTAGTCTCGCTCGGCTGCGGGAAGGTGGGTTGTTGTTGTAACTGGAGTTGTTCGCTCGGGCCGCCTGGCCCTGGGCGCAGCCAAACAAAAACCCGACCCGCGCCTCTGGAGCCGGCTTCGGGCCCCCGGACGCTCCCCTTTCTCTTCAGCACTCCCGCCGTGCTCGGAAAGCTTGGCAGCTCCCGCCTGCGCCCGGGAGCCACAGCGCTCCCATCGCTCGCCGCTGCCGCCGCCGCCGCCTTTTTTAACCACCGTCTGCGGCAGCTACCGCCGCCACCACCGCTGCTGCCAGCCTCCGCCGTCCGCACGCTCCCCAAATAAATAACCCCAAGTCTGAAGTTAAGCCGGCGCCGGCCTTATATACCCAGCGGAGCCCCCACCCCTCGGCCCCGCCCCGCGCCGCCCGGCACCGCCCACTGGCTGCGCGCGGGGCGCCCGCACCTCGCCGGGGAGAGGTGAGGCCCCGGCTGCCAGCGCCAGGCGGAGGCGGCGGCGGGCGGCGCGTTCCCGCGCGCCCTGGCTCGCGCCTTCGCTCCCTCGCTCCCACGCCCCGACAAAGTTTGCCCGAGGAAGGAGGTTCCCGGGCTCCCGCCCCCAGCTCCAGGGCCCGGGAGGTGCCCCAGCCTCTGAGCTGGTTGTTCGCAGCGGAGGAATGGGGAGGGGGCGGCTTTGAACGCGACTCATAAATAAATAGCGCTGCCAGTGCCTTTGCTGCAGCTTTTGCCACGATCCTGAGGGGCTGCTCAGTGTGTTTGCAGCGCAGCAAGAGAGAGCCCGAGAGATTGTGATTTAAAAAAAAAAAAAAAAATTCTACCGAAATAGATCTGCCTGCGCTCACAGACACACACATGTGTATTTTTGGGAGCTTAAAAGTTCAGAGTTTTTGCAAGTTTTCCAGCCTTCTCGCCAGCCTTCCCATCTCTGAGCCACCCCCTTCCGTTTAACCCTTTCTTTATAGTCCCACACTTAACACCAGGCTCAGTGGATGTCTTGGATATACAATATGCTCGCAAAACCCTAAGGGCTTGAATGTGTCTGTCTGATTTCACTCTCTTAGGAGGGAAAACTAAATCCCTAGCAACGCACATTGTAACCAGAAGGTTTCCTTTATTTAGGGGAAGATCTGGATTTTTTTCCCCCCACTATGTTTTGAAGGAGAATTTCCTCGTTTCCTCTTGTCTTTTTAGTGTGATGGGTGTCTGGCAACTGCTACAACTCGCCTGCTCCCCACTACTCTCCCAGCAAAAACCAATGTGACTATTGAGTAATGATTACTAGAGGTGTCAGCTCCTTTGCTTGATTTTAAAGCCCCTCATCTCATTCTTCCTTGTCCCGTTCCATTTTACTAAGCTTTCACAGGAAGTAGTGCGAGCCCCCAGCTTAATGCCAATCTCATAGTGTGATAATTATTTGTGTCATTATCTGTCATCCCCTTGAAAGCAAGAGGATCTGTCCAATTCACTTTTGTATTTCCAACATCTAACAATATGCCTACCACATAGTCGGCGCCCTGAAAATTGACCCCTTTTTGCTTATCATAAGAATGTACTCAACCTGAAATTTCACGAATATCCCTATTAACTTTTTTTCCTACTTATATTTTCCAAAATGTCTTTTAATGAGACTATCTCTACCTATTCATTTTGCCGGGTCTGGAAATCCTAAGCTATTCTGAGGACATTTCCAAAGACAGGGGACCTATTAGATAACAAAACTGGAACTCTTTGGATTACTCATTTTAACGCCATAGATTTATGTTGCTCTGTTCTTTTAAAGACTTCAAAACATTTAACATTTATTAACTCATTTGTCCTTCTAGATTTTAGCTTAAAGGTCTGTTACGTAACTTCTTTAAGAAGGAAAAAGTGGAAGGCATACTCACATTTTCTTGTAAAGATAATGAGTTAAAGAATAAGTGCCTTGAATGACCAAGGATTCTTCCACCACCCTACACCAAACCCAGTGAATTTTCTTTAATCTGTACCCGTAAATTATGTGGTTGAAATATGTTTACTACCACACTAATTAATTTAATTTTATAACTCTGATACCTTGTCAGCAACAAGATGTATTTATGTTCAACTTTATCTACCACCTAGAATCATTATTCTGTATTTTAATTGCAAAAACATATCTTGCATTCCAATATTTGCAAATAATGCTATTTATATTGTTGCACCAACGAAAGTCATAAACATGAGTTCAAGTTTGATTATTTGTCTGCTTCACTTTCCATTCTGTGTAAAGTCAAGAAAAGAACTGAAAATAACATTTGTAGCCACATGCCTTTTGGAACACATTTTTAAATTTGATGAACATTTATATTAGAAGTTATGTCCAAGGATTTCATGAAGAAGAAAAGGAAGACTGCAACTAATTCCTGAGCAACATGGCACATTAATTTCTCTGTGTTATCAACTTTTCAGTTAATAAAGGGAAATTTATACATGACTGGCCAGGTTTCTCATTTCTAAAGCTATTATTATAGTATCCTTCAGTATTATTGTAGTGTGTTTTTTGGAGGCCTTGCATGCTTCGTACCATTAACTTCTAGGTCTTCATTTTCCTGGATTATGTTGCTCCCAAATGAGATTTGAATTTCTCTTTGACAGCGTTCTACCCATCCTGAAGAAAGCCTTCTGTGGTGCCTCTTGTCACCACATGAGGTCTCCATAAATCCTGACCTGAATGAAACAGAAGTGGAAACCACTGGAGTCAACATTCAAGTCTCCTATTATCTTGAGGGGAAAAAAAAAAAAATCCAGTTGCTATGATAATTTGAAAACAATTTAGACAATTAAAACCTCATACAGTTAAAAAAAATAAAAAGCAAACATTCTCTCAATTTGCATTTTCTTTGGAGAAAAAAACTTTATGAAATTGGGACTTATGGAAGAAGGGAATAAGATAAAGAATTAGTGAAAAAGAGGTAAATATGAGTGAAAACAAAGATAATAACAGTAATAGCATTGATCAAATTCACGAAGTTAACAGAAAAATTACCTGTCTTTAACGGCTTTCATGCTACTATTTTCCATTGTTGCAAAACGTGCCCATGTTAATTTCCTGATTTTTCTTACAATATCTTTGCATTTGAAATACAGATATGGAACCCCAGAGTCAAAGAGATTGAGATTTAACTAAATATTTTTCCATGCATCCCAAGTGCCAAGCTATTTGTTGGAGTTAAAACCACAGTGTAGCTGTATATGGTTGCTATTTTACTTGTATTCAGGTGAGCACACTGGTCTTCAGTTAGGTCTGATTAAGTGGCAGAGCTGAAATCAGAACCTGAGCTCCCTGACCTCAAACTTCAATTGGTTCTCCTACACACAATATCTAGAGACCCTCTGAAACTCTCAGGGATCAAGGAATCTATAATTCATCAGGTACTCTCACCATTATACAGGAGATGTTCACATCTCTCCACACGGTCTATTTATGGTCATCTAAAAAGAGGAGGGGAGAGCTAGGGCCCACAGCAGCAGCACCCCAAGGATATTAATACTTGAAGAGCTTCTGGAGTTGGCTTAAACTTTGAGATGATTCTCTAGGGCAGTGTTCTCAGAGTATGGTTCCTGGACCAGAGCATCAGAAAGGCCAGAGACTGTAGCTGGAAATGTAAATGTTCAGATCCCACCTCAGACCCACAGAATCAGAAACTCTGGGGGTGAAGGCCAGCAATCTGGTTCTAACAAGCCCTCCAAGTGGTTTTGATGCTCACTGAAATTTGAGAACCACTGGTTTCTAGAGCTACTTTGTGGTTACATCTGAGCCACTTAAGTATAGAGAATTAAGCAGCACTGAGTGATGGACGGTGCCTGCTGAGCCGGCTTCGCCTTCTCTTTGCTGGGCATTTGACAACCGCACATTCCTGATAACCTCTAGGGGGCACCAAAATATTTTTATGTACAGCCCCACGGAGGCAACAAAGGCTTAGGCTCATTTTCCAAAGAAACGGCCTGAAGAAGGGGAAAGAGCTTCAATCTCAGCAAG